GAATACAAAATATCCAGCGCCAACAAGGTAACATTCACAATGTCTGGTATCCAGTCAACGTTTACCAGGCATGCAAAGTATCAGGAAAACATGACCCATAATGAGGCCAGTCCATCAAAACCAATTCAGAACTAACACAGGGGTTAGAATTAGCAGAGAGGACCCTAAACAGTTATTACATTGAACTCTCAATGTTCAAAAAGTTGAGTAAACTGGAGAATAAACAAAAAGACCCAAATAAGGCTTCCAGAGATAAAAACTGCAACATATAAGATGGAAAACACACTGATTTGGATGACCAGTAGGTTAGGATGCAGGAGAAAGGGATTAGTGAGCTTGATGGCGTTACAACAGAACCAAGGCAAAATGAAACACAGAAAAGAAGAACTTCCAAAAAGAAGAGCAGCAGTGAACTGTGGGACAAACTGAAATAAAGAATGACCACTTCCCTTGCACATTCACCCTTTCAACTCTCCCCTTTCAGACCCTCAGAGGCTGGTGTATAAGGGTGGCTTTGTCTTCCCAGCGTTGCTCTTACTTAAAGGGTTCTAGGGTGGGTGTCTAATAAAAAACATTTACTTAAGTGAAATATACCTACAGATGAGTACATATATCATGACTGTACAGCTCACTTATTTTAAAAAACATTTTTTAAAACTTCTTATTTTCAAATAATTTTAGATTTGCAGGAAAGCTGCAAAGACAGTACAGAGGTTTCTTGGCATACTCCTCTCCCAAGTCCCTCTGCTGTTAATGTCCTGCATAACTGTAGTGCATTTGTCAGAATTAATCTTGGTACGTTACTATTAATGAAACTACTGACTTTTTTCAGATTTTATCCATTTTTTCATGAGTGTTCTTATTCTATTCTAGGATCCAGTCCAAGACACCACAGTGCAGTTGGTACTCAAAGGTTTAAAGTTGAAACCCTGAACCAAAGCCTTGCTTTCCAGGCAGTCAGCAGTCAGACATGATCAATAGAATAGAGGCCCTGTGGTGTCACTACCCACTACCCACACTTTATGCGCACAAGGATAGACACAGACTAGAGCTCTCTGTCGGAAATCCCCCTGTGTACATTACCAAAGTAGCATGAGCTCACTGGAAAAAAACTAGATATCTGAAAAGTAAGACTGTCCCCCCCCCCAAAAAAAACAATAAAAATAGCATGCTGAACACTATTACCATATGAAGCAGAATAGATGAAAACTTAAAATAAACACATTTTCATTATGAGACATGGACAATAAATTATTTTTTTAAACCAAGTATAAATAATTCACATTAGATCAGCTAAATGGTAGGACAGATTCAGCTGAAGAATTAGTGAACTAAAAGATCAGACTGAGGACTTCTCCTGGATGGCAGCAGAAAAGTTTAAATATATATGTAAAAGAAAACCTAATAAATAGATTAGAAGTTCCAACATACAAATAATAGGAGTTCTAACTAAAGAGAGAAAAAAACAAAAATAGAAAGAAATAGTTAGACAAATAGAATGGATGTTAATTTTCTAGGAAAAGCTAGAAAAAACCTAGCTTAAGAATTGCCAGACTTTCTATAAAGGACCCAATAGTAGCTCTTTCAAGATGTGCAGACCATGCAGTGTCTGTTGCAAATACTCAACTCTACTGTTGTAGCAGGAATGCAGTCATAGACATTATGTCAGTGAATGACCATGGCTGTATTCCAATAAAACTTTATTTATTTATTTATTTATTTTTATTTTTTTTGAGAGGGCATCTCTCATATTTATTGATCAAATGGTTGTTAACAACAATAAAATTCAGTATAGGGGGGTCAATGCTCAATGTACAATCATTAATCCATCTCAAGCCTAATTCTCGTCAGTCTCCAATCTTCTGAAGCATAACGAACAAGTTCTTACATGGTGAACGAATTCTTACAGAGTGAATAAATTCTTACATGGTGAACAGTACAAGGGCATTCATCACAGAAACTTTCGGTTTTGATCATGCAATATGACCTATAAACCATCAGGTCAAATATGAATATTCATTTGATTTTTGTACTTGATTTATATGTTGATCCCACATTTCTCCTATTATTATTATTATTTTTATTTTTAATAAAATGCTGAAGTGGTAGGTAGATGCAAGATAAAGGTAGAAAACATAGTTTAGTGCTGTAAGAAGGCAAATGTAGATGATCAGATGATCAGGTGTGTGCCTATGGACTAAGTATTAATCCAGGCTAGACAAGGGCAGCAAGACATCCACGGATGCAGAAGATTTCTCTCAAAGCAGGGGGGGTGAGGTTCTGAGCCTCACCTCTGTTGATCCCCAAATTCTCACCTGATGGCCCCCCTGCGACTGTGCCTGTCTTAGGTTGTTCCTCCCTTGAGGAATCTTACCCGTCTCTGGCTAACCAGTCATCTTCCGGGGCCATACAGGGAAATGTAAAGTTGGTAAGTGACCAATAAAACTTTATTTACAAAATCAGGCAGTGGCTGCATTTGGCTCACAGGCCAAAGTTGGTCATCCCCTGATCTAAACTACCACATTTGCCAATAGTAACTTGAGAAGAAATGGAAAATCCAATTAGTTTTATAACAAAATAAGAACTTAAATTTGTAATTTCTACATTTTCCCACAAAGAAACTACGGTTCCAGATGGTTTTCCAGGTGGATCCTCTAAACTTTCATAAAACAGACAATTCCAACTACATATAAATTTTTCCAGACACTAAAAAAAGATGAAACTCCTCAACTTATTTTTCAAAGCTAATAAAGTCTAAATAACAAAAACAAAGTATTATAAGGACAGTTATGATATACAGATCCCCCCAATCTCAAATATGTACACAAATACAATAATTTAAAAAATAGATACACATAAAGCAGACAGATGGCAATCTTAATCAATGTATAAAAAGTCCATCATGACCAAATAAAGGATGGTTCTCTGTCTTATCTTTTCCTAAATAAGATGGAATACTTTAACAGTGGTAAATCTGTTAATATAATTAACTGAATTAGGAAATTGAAGGGAGACAATTACATAATTATAGCAAAAGCTGCAGAAAAATAAACTTAATGAAGTCAGTTATGAATGCAATTGGGGAAAACAACTTTTGGCAGACCAGTATTAGGAGATAAATCCCTTAATCTGATAAAAAGATATCTACCAAAGACCTACCACAAGCATCACACCTAAAAATGCAAACCTTACAATCTCTTTAAAATCAGCAAAAGAACAAGAAAATAATCCCTCTTTAACAACTATTCAACATTTTACTAGAAATAGAAATGAGAGGTTTAGGGATAGAAAGTAAGAAACAAAACTGTCATTCCAGGTGATTTTATTATCATCAGAGAAAATCCCAGAGAATGTACAAAGCCTTAGAACCAATAAGAGTGATATCATATCTATCACCATGGAAATGTCAGAGGAAACAGTACAATCTAGAAGATAAGATGAATGAACTCGATCTGCATTATTAATATGGATAAACCACAGTGTTGCATGAAAAAACAAGAGCCAATTGAAATAGAAGACAAGCCCTGTGGTAGTGCTTATGAAATGTTTTGAACACACAGGATAATACTGAATACTTAATTTTGTGTACTGGTATTAAAAACAAAGTAATAGTGAGGACAGAAATATGACTTACTAACTTGAGAGTGACCTCTGGAGAGAGAAGGGAGGGGACAGGAGGCCAGCTGGGTTTCAACTCTATCCGTAGTTTTTACTTTTAAAAGGCTCTAAAGCAAATGCTAATGTTTCTTCCATACATATGTTAAATATAGACAGTTTATTATATGTCAATTATACATGGAAAGTGCAGCTTTTTTAAAAAAGGCTACCTTGTGTCTTTTCATCTGTTTTACATAGTCTTCAACATACATATATCACTATGAAATGAGGGAGGTGTTTTAAAATAGAGACACCTGAGTATAAAGAATAGTGATTCTGTCTCCCAGACAGTTGCACGTGTCCTTGGGTCAGTCATGGCATTCAGTTATGTCAATATATTTTTGTTCTGCCTCTGTTTAAAAAAGCCTCCACTCTGCCGTCCCACTTGCCTCCTCTCTCCCCACCTCCCTCTCGCGCCCTCCTCTCCCCTCCTCTCTGGCTCTCAGTCTGGCTGGCTCTCAGAAAACCCTTTTCTTCAACTGAGCAGGCAGCTTTAGTAGACATGACAACTCTCAGAATTATAAATGATCATTGCTACTAGGAAATAGCATTTTCTAATTTACAACATGCTTCCTCATACCTGTCCTCTGAGTCTCACAGCAATCCTTGGGTATAGCAATAGGAAAATAAAAGACAACTGGCTAACTATAATTGCTTCTGCTTTCCAAGGAGGGTGGTAAATTTCCCATCAGTGGGAGGACAAATCTCTCTGCTGCCCCTTCCACTTTCAGAGACTGTTAGTAAGCACAGCAGATGAAAGACAGCCATTTCTTTTACTCCAGCTCCCTCCCTTCAGCAGTGTGGTGGCCTCTTAGTTTAAATGGAGTGAGTCATGGGCTATGCAAAGATAGGTCCAGGACTGAGTTGGGGGTTGTGGGAGACATTGCTCTCACCCTACCCAAAATGTATTCCTCTCTTCTTACTCACACAGGGCCCTGGTTTTGCCGGAGGTAGGAAGGTGCCCAGATGACAAATTGGATTTCCCCGACTCCCTTCCAGATAAAAGCAGCTTACTTCTTCGGGCCAATAGAATGAAGGAATAAACTGTGGTGCTGTACTTCTGGAAATGCTCCCTGAAAGGGGGACTGACTCAGCTGGTAAACTTACTGGTCTTCCATCTTCCACTGCCTGAAAAACGGATGTAATGACTGCTGCTGAAGCAGCCATTTTGCAGTCCTGAGGTGATCTTGATTGGAAACAATAGGCCTGTGATAAAAAAAGCAAAACAGAGACAAGAGGAGGTTAGAACATTGATGAGATGACAGTACTACCACACCATCCCTAGAACGCCTATCTTTAGACTTCTTTTACATGGAAGAAATATTTAAACCTTATTTAAGGCATTGTTTTATAGGTCTCTGTTGCAGCAAAACATAGTTCCTAAATGATAGAGATCAATGAGCTAAGCTATCTGTGTTTTGAAGTAAGGAGCAAGGAATTTCTGGGATGAAGGCTATAGTGCTCTAACAAGGGTGAGGCAAACCTCTGTTTCCTTGAGCCTTCTATAAAGTCTGCTACGCCTAAGTAGAGGCCTTGTGTGCATGGGGGTGGAAATCAAGAAAAGGGGGTTGTGCTTCCTCATCACTGTGGTGTGAGGCAGGGACAGCACCTGTGAGATAGCAAGTTGATCTGTCTACCAAATTAATTAAAAATAAACAGGATCATAGAGCAGGAGATAAGGAAACATGAACTCCCTTTCATTCCAGAGAGACTACTGATGAACCCTATCTCACTACACGTGTGGTGAGTTTGAACCAATACCATCTGCATCCCAGGCGGGCCCTGCGGTTAACGTGAGAATTTCAGGGAGCAGTAACTCCATTTTACAAATGAGGAAATGCTGGGCCAGAGAGGTGGGGTGAAGCCAGCTTTTCCAGTTCAAGGTCTGCCTGTCTTTCATTACACCAGAGCTACACCTGGGGTGCAAGGGAGCAGCGAGGGGGGCAAGAGAAGAGTCACCTAAGCACCAGACAGGCCCCACGATCCTGGGGGCCAGTGATGGTGCAAGCAGCCAGATTCCCTCACCATAAACACATTGATGTGCACATGCCTCCCTCCCATGTCAGGGTGTCCATGAAAGCCAGACACATATACGTATACTAAGGGATCCTTATTATGGTGGAAAGAGCACCACCTTTGAATTTTTAAGATCTAGACTTGAATTCCAGCCCACACTTACTACCAGTGTGCTCTCGGGCAAATCCCGTGCCCTCCCTGGGCCTCAGTTTCTCCTTCTGTAACAGGAGGGGTTGCCAGATTAAGTTCTAAAGCCCAATCCAAACCTTCTAGGAGACTATATAAAACATCATTAACAGAAGATTAAATCTATTGTTAAATGAGGATAAACGCAGCTTTATATAAATATATGGTATGTAACTATGAGAATCCACTATTTGAGGAATCACAGTTCCAAGGAGAACAGTTTGGAACTACAATTAGATGAGCCAGCAGTGCATAGTTGCTCCTTCCTAGCCGTAGACCAGCCCCTTACAGACTTGATACATACGATACCACATTTCTAGCTCCTCATACCTAGGTACATAGGTATGTTTACATCAGAAAATCTGCCTTAAAACTTGGAAATCATTTCCTTTAAATAAAAATGAAATAGATACAATGGGAATTTAAAATACATTCTGGTACTGTCCCAATAGTGCGAGAGTGTGTGACATGAAGCTGGTAACATCAGCCAGGCCACGGGAGGATTTTATTAGACAAATCTAGCAGTTTATTAAATACCCCAGGGCCTTCTCATCATAAATGCAGCCAAGCGTCCTGAAGTAATGGGAATGGAGCCCCTCGTGAGCTTGAAGCTCTTTATTCTGGCATTTAATGAGCAGGAATAACCAGGGACGGATGGTATCGTTTATGAGTCCCCTGAACCCAGGAGAAAGGTGATTTCAAAGATTCCTTGGGGATCTTTGAGGCCTTGCCTATAAAATGCACCTGCATTCACTGGGGTCCTCCTCAACCCCAGGGCCTTGTCTGCGGATGAACTAGACTCCCAGGAGCTAGGCGAGGGGAGCATCCAGAGTCCCCACCCTGACCTGTAAGTATGCCATCAAGTTATTTGCTAAATTATCCTCCAAACCATCATTTGGTCCTGTCTCTAGCAGCCCAAATGATTTTAGCCAAGAAGGGAGACTCCTGTTCCTGCACTTGTACATCAAACCTGAAGAGAGAGTTCCTGCTTGGCATCTATACAGTGGCCCAAAGAAGGCAGGGGTTCCCAAAGAGCAGTGCACACCCCCCACAGGAAGCACCCAAGCAGAGGCAGAGAATGAATAGTGGATTTCATATTCAAAGAGGTCAGGGAAGGGTAGCCTGAAGAACTTCAATTTTCTTTCCAGACCTGAAAGTTGGGGATTCTATGACATAGAGAATCAAATGCTACTCAGTGTAAATACTACTACCTGTTATTGAAGGCTTATTAAGTGCCAGGCACAGGGTTAAACACTTTACTTGCATTCTTTAATTTAGCCCTGACACAAAATAAAATTCAGCCCTATATCCCTTTTACGTGGTACTGTCTGAATATCTGCAGATGAGGGAACGAGGCTCCAGGTCAGCAGAGCACCAAGATCGTGCAGCTCCTAAGCACCGGCCAGGTGTCAGAACCCAGACGCGTGCTTTCTGATTCTCGAGTGCTTCACCCACACAGGATCAGTGGTTGCGGCCAGCTGGATTGTACAGGAGGCTGGCCAGAGCCCCACGGCGCCATCCCCACTCCTCCTGCAACCCTTTGTTCAAGGTTTGTATGCAAATACAGAGAAGGTTCAGAGGTGAGAGAGCTGGGGAAAATAGAGTTCAAGGGCTGGTGGGGAAGGCGGGGTCTCTTAAAGGTCAAAGGGCTGCCGTAAAAAGAACTTGAGAAAGATGGTGAGAAAGAACACTGAAGTTTTCATTTCCTAAGGGGGACATTTCAGGGAAGGGAAATTCTAGCCAAAGTGTTTCTGTTCCTTTGAGGTACAGCCTTAGTTCCTCTGAGAGATCTTGGCTGGGCAGGATGCTTGAGGCCAGAGCCAGGCTCTGCTCCCCGTCCTCACCATCCCAAACCCCTCCTGGCAGATAGCCATCATCTCTGCCCCCAAAGCCCCCCAGTCTGTTCACAACCTGAGCTGTCCTGAGGAGCCTGGAGTTCTCTGGCTACGCTCAGATCCTAAGATTACAGTTAACAGGAGGAAGAAAATAAGAGACTTGCCTTCTCTCTCTGTCCCCAAAGGCAGCCGCCAGCAGTGTTTGTTCTCAGAGAGGCCCTGGGAAGAAGGATGGTCACTTTCCTTTCTCCCAGAGATAATTGAGGAGAAGTAAGAAACTACCTGTGTTTGAAGGGAAAATGGTGACAATTAATCTCTAAGCACAAGGCCTTGTGTTGAATTCTTTGGAAACAACTTTAAGAGTTTAATGACAATCAAGAGAATGAAATTGAATTAAGAGAAATGGAAATTAAATCAGGAAAGAAGTTTTTGCGAAGGGGATGGTAAAGGAAATTAAAAACAGTAATGCTGAAAAATGTGGTGGACAGAGCTGGGGAAGAGAGGGTTTGGTGGAAAGGGGGAAAGAGCGGGCAGAGCAAAGCAGGTTGGGAGGGGCAGAGTGCTTGATTCTAAGGACTGTGGAAACTGTTCTTGAGAGACCAGGTGTCTGGCTCTTCTAGTCAGGGTCTAAGATGCCAACTCCTAATGGGGATAAGCTCTTCTTTAGGTAAATAGAAGTCTCCAGTTAGGGTAAGTATAAGACAGCAGAAGACTGGAAGTAGGGTAACCAATTATCCCAGTTTGCCCAGAACCATCCCAGTTTCAGAACTCAAGTGCCAAGTCCCAGAAACCCTCTAGTCAAGGGCAAACCGGAATGGTTGGTCACCCTAATGTGGAAGCAGATGGCCCTGGTTCCAAGCTTTGCTGTGCAGTCAGTAGCTGCATGACTGTGGCTGAGTCACTCCATCTCTGTGAGCCTGTTTTCTCAGCTATAAAATGAGTTATCATGTAAAATGAGTTATACCTCAAAAGATTAAAGAAGTTGCTATATGTCAAGGTATCTAAAACATATGCATGAAATAAAATCTTGATAAATAGGAGTTGATCTGAAGAATATTGATAAGAAGACATAAGATATTAGCAAATGTAAATCTGAAGATTTTCTAGAATGACTCACAGTACTCAGCCTACAATTGTATTCATGGTAAAGGTTTATTACAATGAAAGGATACACGATAGGATCACCAGAAGGAAAAAGACCCAGGTAGTGTCTGAAGAAATCCATGCACAAGCTATTTACACCCTTTCCGTCTTGTGAGGAACACATCAAGTACACTCCTTTCTCTAGCAGTGAAAAATACAAGAATGTGTGCAATGTTTCTGCCCAGGAAGCCCGTTAAAGACTCAGTGCCTGAGGATTTTATTAGTGGTCATTGCATAGACATCTTCTGCCTGGCAATTCCCAAAATGCCAGATTCCTGGATGGAAAACTGGTGTACAGGAAAAATCACACTGCCCATCAGCCTTATCAGTTAAGGAACAGTGGAGATGCCAACTTTCCAGACCACCAGCCAAGGGCCAACCTTGCAAACAGACTTTTCTAAAAATAGCAGTGTCTGGCCTGTTATGCTCTTTTCTTCACATGACCAGGTGGGGTTCACTAGGAATGCAAGGATAATATATGTAAATGGAAACTTGAATCTGGATCTCCAAGCTGTCGCATATACCATCAGATCCCAGCTGGCTGTGCCAGGTTTTGCTGGTCCCAGCTTTATTGGTAGTGGTAGGAATGCCATCCACTCTGCTAAGCAAACTCTGCTCACTACCAATTCCCTGCCAAGAACTTAACCACCAACCAAAGTCCTCTTCTTGGTCGCCTGAGTCAGAACACTGGGTTTTTCTCAGTTTGTTGAGATGAACATGTCTCCAGACTAAACAATCTAAGTAGAAATAGCTCTCACCTCACATGCATGTGCACACACACACACACACATACACAGGCCAGTTTTTTATTTACAGTGGGGGCTATCCACATCTGGTGACCCAAAATGCTTGTTTCGGATTTGGGGCACCACCTTCCTCAAAAATGAAGATACCAGAGCAATGAATCAGAGCCTGCTGATTTCTTCTTCCCCAAAGGGGAGATGTTAGAAAAATGAGTCAATCGGTGTACTAGTGGGGAAGAGCTGCTGCAGATGCTTAACTGGACAACAGGAAGGGTTTTCTTTCTTAAGCATTGCTGAGCATTATGGACTGGCTTCCCCTTTAATGTATGTGTTTCCTGGTTTGCTGGGGCTGCCCTGACAGAGTAACACAATGAGGGGACTTAAACAACAGAAATATATTGTCTCTCTGGAGGCTAGAAGTCAGAATTTCAGGTGCTGGCAGTGTTGGTTCCTCCTGAGGGCTGTGAAGGAGAGAACTGGCCCCCACCTCTGTCCTTGGCTTGTAGATGGATGTCCAGTGCCATGGAGTCCTCCCTGTATGGCTGTGTCCATGTATCTTCTTCTTATAAGGACACAAGTCATCCCAGATCAGGGACCATGCTAATGGCCTCAATTTAACTTGATTACCTCTGTAAAGACCCTATTGTCAAATAAGGTCACATTCTGAAATACTAGGGGTTAGAACTTCAACATATGAATTTTGGGGAACACAAACATAATTTGGAAAAATGTAAGTGAAAATCAGAACTATTTGTACATGTAACAAACTAGCAATGTTTGAATTTTAGAGTTAATAAATGAAAGAACAGAAGTAAGTAATGGGAGCGTGGAAGGGGAGGAGGAAAAGAAAGAGGAAGAGCAGAGAGCTGGGTCAGACCACCAAGCCTGCACCAGGTTTAGAGATTGGTGAGGACATCTCACACCTACCTGTTTGCTTCAGTTTCGGTTTACCACTAAAACCACCACGCAGTGCAGAGGATGAACATGGCATTGACAAACGTTCCCTGCCTGATGTGACTCACAGAGGGGTACCCCAAGTCTGGAAGATTCCACAGCTCTCTCACAGCAAGGCATCCAGCTGGTGGAGCACAGAGCCATGGTCCTCGGCCTTCACACCATCTTGATGGACGTGGGAGGATGCCACACCAGTATTTAACGGCCTACCCCTTAGGGAAATCCTTGCCCTGCACAATCATCACATACCTACCTGCACATGACATTTTTTACTGCCTCCTGGAGCCAACTGAAGGTTCCAGAGCAGCAAGCCTGCCACAAAAGGAAGTCGGACAAGGGTTTGTTTTGTTCATTCAGGCAGCATATACTCTACGGAAGGAGGCCCTGCTATGAGCTGAAGGGAGAATCAGAACTCTGTGGCCTCTTGGTCCTTCCAGCTCCACAGCTAGCTAACCATGCATATCTGCCACATCAGAAATACATAAAATGCAAAATCACAGAAGGCAGGGCGAATTTCCCCACACCCAGTAGAGACTAAAACAAGCAGTACCATAGTTAAAGCTTCCAAGAGAAAAGGAGACAAAATTAACACTCGTGCCCGTGATGGGCCTGAAATGATGAACTACAGGCCCAATGATCCTGGCCCATGTGATGCCTGTTTCAGAGCTGAACGATAGCACCTGGAAAAAGAATCTGGAGTCTAGGCTAAACAGCTAGTGTGTGAAATAGAAAATAGGTGTGAAAATAGAAGCTATGGCAAGTTTCACCTCTCCCAGGAACACATCTCTTCTCATCTACTGTTTTACTAGAACGTGTTCAGGGCACTATTGGGCCCAAAGACACTAGTCTTCCCATCCTTGTCTCAGAGACTCGGGCCATTTCCCTAATGTTGTTGTTCCCAAAGACTTAAAAGGCTCAGCCCAAACCAGTTATACTTCATGTCCCTAGCTTTAATCACTTGGTTTCCACTCAGCATGTGCTGGCTTGTGTGCACTCAGAAGTGACTAGAATTATAGCTTATAGTTAAGAAAACTTCGGAATTCTTGGGCCAAGGTAGCCTTAACATAGGTAATCATCTAGGCTATCAGGCTTTCAGAATTACTATAAATTGCTCATGGCTCTCTAGGACTTGAGACACTAGTTTAGGAATCCCTATTTTAAAATGAATACAAAGTGTGATCTATATATATAATAGAGTATTATTCAGCCTTAAAAAGGAAGGATATTCTGCCATATGCTACAACATGGATGAGTTTTGACAATATGCTAAGTGGAACAAATCAGTGACAAAAGGGCAAAATACTGTGATTCCACTCATATGAGTCAAATTCAGACAGAAAGTAGAACTGGGATTGCCAGGGGCTAAGGGGAAACAGGAAAGGATTTTTTATTTAGTGGGTTTAGAGTTGCAGTTTCACAAGATAAAAAAAGAGTTCTGGAGATGGATGGTGGTGATGGTTACATGATATGAATGTACTTAATACCACTGACCTGCACACTTAAAAAGGTTAAGATGGTATATTTTGTATTAAATGTATTTTACAATTTTTATTAATCTGGGGAAAAATAGAGAAGGGAATAGCTTAACACTAAGATTCTCAGTTTTAGTACTAGAATTGTATCATCAGAGCCAAAAGTAGCTACATAATAGATTCTGTACATTTTTACGCCCCAGTCCCCAGTTTTCCTTCTGCTGAATGAAGCATCTTGTTGCTTGAAAACTGGCATTTTCTTATAAATCACTAGTTCAGTAAGTCTAGACTTTCAGCCATCAGCACAGGAAGACCTCTGCTAGGCAGATGGGGCCAATAGGCAGCACATGTGAAGAGTCGCAACCAAAGAGCTCCCCCTAGTGGCCCTGACAGCTCCCCCAA